ATATTCCTGTTGAACCCTTTTAAAACCCAGCTTCTTCCGTCTATATTATTCCCTGGTACCTGATATTCTCAAAACACTTCTTTAAAACACTCACACATGCTGAGCTGATAGTTCCTTGGAAGAGAATGTCTTCATAGCCCGGTCTCTCTATTCTTATTTTAATCTCATTTTTCTACTGCCACTTAATCACTGTGACCTTTTTAAGATTGCTTGATGTTGATTTTATCTTGTTCTAATAATAATAATAAGCTGCCTCGAACTGATTGTTTTGTTGTGGGTGTTTTGATTTATAGCGAGATTGCCCTGTGAGTCCTCAGTATGTAGCTAATTTAGGGTGTTACGATGAGGGCCACATCAAAACTAAATAAGTACACCATCTGCTCACAGAGCCTGTGGATGGCGGGATGGCTAGCAAAGGGATTCCAAAACACACAGAATAATCTTACTTGTCTGAGATGAAAAGAACGGACTATATCTTATATTTGGAAATGATGAGGGTTGGATGAATGATTACCTTGCCAGAATATTAGATGACTCAGAAAAGATCCCAAAAAACTAATCAAGCTGATCTAGTAGTATATAAAGATTAGATCCAGATGTACGCAGAAGGGATAGAATAGATCTCAACCACTAACTTAAGTCCAGTTGGATGCACTGCAGCTATGTCTCAGTTTACGTAGGAGATGACCAGGCTGAAACTGAGGGTGTGGTCAAATACATCAGCAGTCTCGAATCTCTGAAAGTCTGAAAGAGACCTAAGTCCAGCCCCCATTGATGTCTGTTGATTCTTATCTTATTCACCTTGATTGTTAGTAGATCAGATTCTTGTGTATAGGTTGTGTGAAATAAATTTGCCAGTGCTTTTGAACTCTGTCTTGGATCCGGGTTCCCTATGTTTGACAATCTAGATCAGGGGTGTCAAACTCAAGGCCCGGGGGCCGGAATCGGCCCACAAGGTCCTTAGATCTGGCCTGCGGGGCTGTCCTAGAAACAGCAAAGGATCGGCCCACGGTGCCTCTGCCAGGGAAAATGGAGTTCGGGAGGTGGCCCTCACGAGCTCCGTTTTCACTGGCAGAGGGGTGCAGGAGACCGTCACAGCCGAAAAAGGAGCTCAGGAGCCCATTTTTGCTGGCAGAGTGCTTGCGCCACCACAGGTGCCCCCGACACGAGTGATGTCAAGCTGGCCACACCCACCCTGGCCACACCCATCCCGGCCCCCCGAGGTCAGACACAACCCTGATGAGGTTCTCCATGAAATCGAGTTTGACCCCCCCTCTTCTAGATCCAATATTCAGCTCCAATGCAAGCCAAGAAATCATTATTTCATATCCAGTATTTACCACAAATTCAGACAATGACTGTCGTGTCAAACAAAAAAACAACAAAATAAACAAAATAAACAATAAAAATATGTTGAACCCATTTTGCATCATGCAATCGATTCAAGATTGCAACAATGCATAAATTGCTCATGTCCGTTAATACAAGGTTGCTCCTGATGGGTCTTCTCCCAGGTGATTGGAAATTATTCCAGCAGCTTCTGTAGTGCTTCATTGCTAGTTCTTATTTGCCTGCCTAACATGCTGGAGTGGCATCATCCTCACTGTTTTAATTTAATTAAAGAATGTGATTGAGAGATGTCTGGGCTTCATTTTTGATCCATAACCAATTGCTGAAATAGAGGAGTGGGATGGGCCAAGACTAGTTTTAACAGAGGGCTAGAACAACAGGTTTAGCCACTGCCAACATGCGCTCAGGTTTTGTGCAAGATTTTTAAACAGGTCCACTCAGCTGATAGTTAACAATTATTTTAGAAATAGGTTTAGAAGCACTCCTGGGCTTGAAAACCCATGGCTAGCTTTTGTTAGTTTCCTGTTGTGGTCCGCCAGCAGCCTGCGGAGCTGGCAGCGGAGTCGGAAAGTGAGGAGGCTGGGGAGGACAATGGGTCAGTCCTGGAGTCAGGGGAAGGCCCGGATGAAGGCTCTGCGTTGGAGGCAGAGATGGGGCCAGGGCCAGGGACATCTGGAAGCGATGTGCGAACTACGGAGCCTCCAGAGGCAGATAGCAGAGAGGAAGAGGAACAGGAAGAGCCTGTTCCTAGTGCACGCATGCGAAGAGCTGCCAGAAGGCAAGAGCGGCTAAAGCAAAAAGGATGACTTGGGAGTAAGGCCAAGGAGATGATTGGCCCCTCCCAGAAGACTTAAAGAGCAGCAAGGCTCTTGGGCTCTTTGTAGGAAAGCGATGTTGCTACATTTGTTTCTTGTCAGTGTCTCTTGTTTCTGAACTTCATGGGGCTTTGCCAAGAAAAGCCTTTGGCAGGGTGCCAAAGAAGACAAAAGTTTGTGATAAGACCGAAGGACAGTTTATGAAGGATTTGTTTTGGACTTAATTTGGACTAAGCTGAAAATGAAGTAATTCTCAGCGGTTCTAATAAGATATGTTTGTTTAGGACTGATTGTGTCTGGTAATAACTACTTGAGCCTAGGTCACAACATTTCCCAAATCCAGTCAGTTTCACCCCATACCCATCGATCAATTTCACAATGCAGTCTTTTGCAATTATTCTGAAGGAATTTCACTTCCCCTCCCTCCTCAGACTGGAACTCGGAAGACCGTGTAGAAAGCAGTCAGTGGATGGAACAGAAGTTTAGCATGCTTTTTGCTGCAAATGGTCTTTTGCAAATACCCCTCCCAGCACGTGAGGGCAAGATAAGGGGTCACGGATGGAAGCTTATCAAAGAAAGATCCAACCTAGAATTAAGGAGAACAATTAATCAGTGGGATGGCTTATCTCAAGAAGTTGTGGGTGCTCCATCACTGGAGGCTTTTAAGAAGAGCTTGGACAGCCATTTGTCCAATCTTCAGCTTCAGCAGAGGGTTGGACTAGAAGACCTCCAAGGCCCCTTCCAGCTCTGTTATTCTGTATTTACATCTAAAGCACTAAAAGGCAATTCCTGAACTTGAGATATCCTGGACTACAATACGCAGACTGAACAGAAAGTCAAACACAAATACATAATCACTGATATATCACTATGGACCTTCACACAGCTGGGGCAAAGATCATTTATAATTTTACCTAGAAATCAAACCTTTTTACAACTACATTTCCACTTTGCCCCAGGTAGGCATTCCATGTTTAAAACATATATCCACAATGGTCAGCACCAAATATTTGCTCCATAACCTCATGGTGTTATGTCATTATCATGATATACAATAGGCACATATTATTGTTCAGTCAGAGAAACTAACAGAGAGGGGTTAAATCATATAAAACCAGACACACCAGTAGAAGCTGAAATCATAAGACTGCGTCTGAGTTACTTTGGCCATGTCATGGGTACGAATTCATTTGAGAAGTCTATGATGCTAGGAATGGTTAGTGGAACAAGAAGAAGGGCCAAGCAAAGAACAAGCTGGCTTCATAATGTCAAATCTGATGCAAAGTTGAACATCCAACAACTGAAAGAAGCTGTGCTTGACAGGGTAACATGGAGAGCACCTGTCTATGAAGTTGTCAAGAGTCAGACAGACATGTCTAAAGGGCTAAAAAACAACAACAACAACAGGCTTAAATACACATCATGTTCCCATTCAAAAGAGAAAAAAAATCACCAAAGGTGATTTAAGTAATTAGTTTAACCGAGTGCATTGTATTATACACAGCACAACATCCTTTTTAATGGAGCAGTAGTGGCGCACTGGTTAGAATGCAGTATTGCAGACTAATTCTGCCAACTGCCAGCAGTTCGATCCTGATTGGCTCAAGGTTTTGTTTTTTTTTAATTGAAAAGTTTTATAAGAAATACAAACAATTTTCTCCCCCCACCCTTTCCCCCTTCCCCACTTAATAGAAAATATACATTTTCTTATACATAATAAATCCTACATATACATGTTTCCCTTAAAGAAAGCATCAAAATAAGACATTTTAATTACATTCAGAGTTGCTCTTCTTCTCTTTCTTCCCTCATTCCACAACAAACCTTCTTCTTCTTCTCCTTTCCTTCCCTTCCCTCCCTCCTCTTCTCTCCTACTTTCTCCTGCCTCCTCTCCTACCTCATCCTACTTCCCTTTTCTTTCCCCGATTAGTAATTAGTAATTAGTTTAACCGAGTGCATTGTATTATACACAACACAACATCCTTTTTAATGGAGCAGTAGTGGCGCACTGGTTAGAATGCAGTATTGCAGACTAATTCTGCCAACTGCCAGCAGTTCGATCCTGATTGGCTCAAGGTTGACTCAGCCTTCCAAGGTTGGTAAAATGAGGACCCAGATTGTTGGGGGCAACATGCTGACTCTGTAAACCGCTTAGAGAAGGCTGTGAAGCACTGTAAAGCGGTATATAAGTCTAAGTGCTATGGCTATTGCTAATGGACTGGAAAAGATGCTAGCATATTAAAATCTGTCATGGACACTAGGTCGCCAAAACATTTTTTTAATTGAAAAATGGAAAGGCACAATTATCTGCAACACTTTCAACCTTTCAAGAATAGAAATCCTCTACGACGGAAGTCACAAAGTCACAAGCAAATACCACAATGACCGGGAGCGGTGCTTTCAAACACCGCTAGATAGACCTGGGTGATTCATGTATCCACAAATAAATGAACGAACGCATCGATGAATTATTAAAACAATCAACGAATGAATGCCTGCCTGCACACATGCGCAATATACCATCTGGGTCAGTATTCCCCACAATCATCACCACTTGGATAGAATTTCTCTGGGATTGCTCATTCGCTCTCTATTGATTCTTGTTTTTTTAGGTTTATTTATTCCTCGAGACAGTTTGAAAACAGAGATGGCGACCCAGTGAATTTTTCTCGTCCCAGTGTATTTTTAAGAGAAACGCTGTAAGAGAAAGCGAGGAAAACCTCTCCGTTTTCCCAGAGACGCACAAAAGCGCATTGTTATGCTTGTCAAGGTTGTCTCTGGCAAAAAAAACAAAACAAACGAAGACGTCTGGAAAAGAACACCAGTTGTTCCTACCAGCTGATTTTGGTGTGAACTTGTCCCTGTTGGCTGCGCAAACAGCTAGTAACCGATATCCAAGGTCCAGGTCAAAGCCCTGTTGTGCTGCCACTCTGCTAACAACCTGAGGAAAAAAAGAAGAAAAAAGAAGAAGAAAAGAATTGTCACAGAGAGTTTCTGGGAAATCGTCCGTTGCTCGCCAACCTACTGCTGGAAGAACCCAACGTATAAAGAACAGAATTTGGAAGCCTTTGTTCTCCTTTCTTTAATTTCTGGCTAGGGCCGCACCGTGTTTCTGCTTCCATTCTTCCGAGCACATGGAAGTGTCTGCAGCTCTTTAAAACAGCCGTGCACCCCCTTCAAATGCAAAAGATGCTTTCTGGGATTTGAAATCACATCTCAAGCATTGACCAATTCCTAGTTTCTAGGATTTATGATCCATTTTTTTACAATGAACGATGAGCAACACTGGCCTTATTTTGCTTCACTGCAACAACTTTCAGCTTTTTTTTTTTTTTTTAAATGAACAAAGAGAATATTGGTAGCTCAGGGTTGAACTGTGGGGTTCTTGCTGATCTCTGAGCTTGGTTGGTTTCTTGCGGACGTTTTTAGGTACCCTAGGTGAAATCATCAACGCTGTTGGAGCTCTGATGATGTTACCGAGTTGGGTAATGAAACGTCTGCAAGAGAGGCAGGATAACAGAGTTGGCTTGCAGGTCATCTAGTCCAAACCCCTGCTCAAACAGGAGACCCTATACCATTTCAGACCAATGGCTCACTAGTCTTTTTTAAAAAAGCCTCCAGTGATGGAGCACCCACAACTTCTGAAGGCAAGCCGTTCCCGTCAAGCTCTGAGAGCACCAAGGACCTCACAGCTTGCTGCTTTTCGCATCAGTGGCATCCAGAACTGAAGCACAGAGGGCATGATTTGGTACAAAATTACCAAAGATGTTTGCCACCCTCTACCAAAAGTTAATCTGGTTTGAAGAACGAAGCTCTCTTTTGGAGTTTACAAAGCCTACATTGAACCCCAGCTGTCCTCTAAGAAACAAGAAAGTGAACGATAAACTGTCAAGGTTAAAAGTAAGCAAGCTGTTAGGAGGCCATTTGTAGGAGACCACATTCTGCACTTCTTACTGCTTTCGAGATGTGACTTAAAATCTTAATTCTCCATCCTCCACCGAGGGCTTTGTCTCCAGAGACACTGGGGGAATGAAAGGTGACTTGGAGGAGAACCAATTTCGCTAGAAAGGCTGCAAATTTGCTTTGCATTTCTGGAAGCCTAGAGGGGCAAAATAAGATTTAAATCTTCCAGATGTTTTAGGGTATCTATTCCACATCTGAAAACTCCTGATGCCTCCTGTCTTGTCCATGCCCTCTTGTGGATTACAGGTTAGTCTCTGATTTACAAGCATTGGTTTAAATGACCATTTTGAGGCAGTGGTGAAATTAAAAAAATTTCCCTACAGGTTCTGTGGGCGTGACTTGGTGGTCATGTGACTGGGTGGGTGTGGCTTGGTGATCATGTGACTGGGTGGGCATGGCTTGGTGATCATGTGACTGGGAAAACAAACTATCACACTTTACACAAAAATACCGGTTCGAGCAATAGGTAGTAAAAAAAAAGTTCCGAGGATCGCACGGCACAGCTGATTGTCACAGCTGATTGTCACAGCTGATTGTCAGAACTCTTCCCCCCCCTTTTTAAAGCATTTTTTTACTACCTATTCGCCCGAATTGGTAGTACAAAAAATGCTTTAAAAAAGTTTTTAAAAAAGGTCCAAGGATCAGCTGTGTTGCATGATCATCAGAACTTTTTTAAAAAAAATTTTAAAGCATTTTTTCACTACTGGTTCGGGCAAACCGCCTCGAACGGGTAGCATTTCACCCTTGATTTTGAGGTGATAATGGCTCTAAAAAAGGTGATTTGCAACTGGTACTTGCACTTTTGACTGTTGAAGGATTCCCCAGGATCCCAGAATCAAAATTCTGGTGCTTGACAACGGGCAAGTATTCATAATGGTTGCCACATTCCAGGTCATGTGATTGACATTTTGCAACCTTCCGACAAGCAAGCTCAACGGGGAAAAGTTAAATTTCCTTAATGACCACGTGATTCCCTTAATAATTGAAGCAATTCGCTTAAGAACCATCGCAAAAATAGGTCAAAAAAATCGGGTAGGACTCACATAAAAACGGCCTTGGTTAGCAATGGAAATTCTTGTTCCAAATGCGGTCGTAAGACTGCAAGCCACCACTGCAGCCTTGGATCAGATCAAGATCACCCCTGATCTCTTGAAATACTTCAATAGGATCTTTACAATCTCAAAGGTTGCATTGGATTGGTTGGGATCATTTATATTCACACATACTTCTTCAAAAGTATTGGCTGTGATTTAGGGTCCACTCCCCTCTCAGATACCGTGTTTCCCTGAAAATAAGACCCTGTCTTATATTTTTTTTTTGAACCCTGAAATAAGCGCTTGGCCTTATTGCCATGTCCTCAAAAGCCAGATTGGGCTTATTATCAGGGAATGTCTTATTTTGGGGGAAACAGGATAACAGCACTACACACACAAAATCAATTTATATGCCCTACACACAGAAAGTGTTATTTGTGAATCATATTAATGTCCCCTTAATTTAAAAAGTTATAAAGAGGAACTGGAAGACAGAAGCATTTAGTAGAATTTTATTAATTTAGCACCAGCCTTTTGTTTTCAGCTATATTTTACTCCAAAGGGCTTACGCTGCAAGAATTAATTTGTCACCATAGTTTTAATATAAAATCTCCTTGAAGAATTAAAGGAAGGGTTCATTAAATGCAATTATCTGTGTCCAACACGGCTTGCTATTTTTTTAAAAAAAAAACCCGGTACAGAACAGAAGGGAAAGGGAAACTATATAATCATCTATCCAAGCTAATGAAATGCTGCTTTTTAGTATTAGCTAGTCAGCACAACCGCACGGTTCTTATTAATCCAAAGTACCTCACATGATTCACTTTTTTCATAATTAATGATAAAATATTACAATGCGTGTGATCCCGAGCTGGATGGGTGGTTTGCTGCAGTTTAAAAATGAGGGGGTGAAATATTTCCATGGAAATCTGGAAGCAATAGCAATTCTTATATTAAGAGCCGCCATGTAGACCATGGGTCTGCAACCTTAAAGACTCAAAGAGCCATTTGGATCTGTTTCCCACTGAAAAGAAAACACCGGGAGCCACAAAACCTGGGTGGGCGTGGCCAACTCCATGTCACTCACTTCCACCAGTCACATGATCCCCTAGCCACGCCTACCCAGCCGGTCATTAGGGCAGAGAACTGTTGTTAAAAAACACCGGGAACCACAAAACCCTTTTGACATCTCTCTCTCTCCCCTCTCCTCCTCTCTCTCTATCTCTCTGTCTCTGCCCTGGCCGCTTCTCCATCCACCGCCATCATCCTTACCTTCTCAGGCCAGGCGAGGAGTGACTGGGAGGGGAGGGCAAGGGGCGGGGCCAGCCAGTGGTGAGATCACCCGACAGGGAGCCACAGCAGAGGGCCCAAAGAGCCGTACATGGCTCCGGAGCCGCAAGTTGCTGACACCAGGTGTAGACTATCAATGGAATAAAGCAATTGTTTTCCAAAGTTTAGCCATCAAGTGGAAATCTTCAAGGAATCACTGAATTCTTTATGGTAAAACTTAGTTTGCAGACAATCTAGCCATCATTATGGACATCACAGCAGATGTGATTCGAAAGCTATCATATTAAATGTTCAGTCTCAAGTGTGGAGTTCTTGAATCTGATTTTCTTTAGATTTTTTTTAAAAAAAACTTGGGAAAAGTTTCCCAAATGCTGCATACATTTTCTTACTCTTAAGAAACTCTTAAGGCCACAGAGGTGCAATTTCATTGTTTGCAACAGACACCGAATGCGAAGGAGGGTGGAAAATACGATAGTCCTTCATTTATATCCATTCATTTAGTGACTTTCGAAGTTACAACAGCACTGAAAAAAAAAGTCACTTAGGAGAGTTGTTCACACATATGACCATTGCAGCATCCCCGTGGCCATGTGATCAAAATTCAGATGCTTGGCAACTTCCTAGCAGCCACTTGTCTGAAATGGTATAGGGCAGGGGTGAAATGCTCCTGGTTCGGACCGGATCGCCCGATCCGGTAGTGATGGCGGCAGGTGGTTTGGAGAACCGGTAGCAAAAATCCCTGCCCCCCTCCATGCCCAGCTAAGCCGCGCGATCATCAGAGGCTTTTCTTTTTTTACTTTTAAAAGCATTTTTTTCTACACCTCTTTGGCCAAAGCCTCTGACGATCACAGCTGAGTTGCCTGATCGTCAGAGGCTTTTGAGAGCATTTTTTTCCTTCTCTTTACAACCACTTAATGTTGTAGAAAAAAATACTTTTAAAAGTAAAAAAAAAAAAAAAAAAAGTTGGCCACGCCCACCCAGTCACATTATCCCCCCCACCAAGCCACGCCCACAGAACTGGTAGTAACAAATTTTACATTTCACCACTGGTATAGGGCCATGATGGCGAACCTATTGCACACATGCCACTGGTGGCACGCAGAGCCCTCTCTGCAGGCACACCAGCTGTCACCCCAGCCCAGCTCCACCGTGCATGCGCATGCACCTGCCACTGGCCAGTTGGTCTTCGGGTCTCTGCCGCACATGCATGGGGGGGGCAGGGTGCATGCATGGGACGCATGCATGGGGGGTGGGGTGCATACATGAGGAGGTGCAGGTTGATGCAGGAGGCTTTCCATGCCCAAAACAGGGTGCGGGGGGGAGGCTCGCACAGTGCCCCTGCGCCCCGTTTTGGCTTCCAGATTGGTGCAGGAGGCTTTCTAGGCCCAAAATGGGGTACATGCGTGGGGGGCACTTGCATTGCATTTTGGGGGTTCTGGCATGTGCACGTGCATTTGCGCACGCATGTTCACGCTTTGGGCACTCGGCACCAAAAAGGTTAACCATCACTGGTATAGGGGGTTGGACTAGAAGACCTCCAAGGTCCCTTCCAGCTCTATTCTGATTGATTGATTCATATTTACTGTATGACAGTTGCAGTGTCCCAGGATCATGCGATCCCCTTTTGTGACCTTTTGACAAGCAAAGTCAATGGGGAAGCCAGATTCATTTAACAACCATATTACTAACTTAACAATTGTAGTGGTTCACTTAACAGCTGTAGCAAGTAAGGTCATAAAATAGGTCAAAACTCACTTAACTGGCTCGCTTAGCAAGAGAAATGTTGGGCTCCATAGTGGTCCTAAATTGAGGATTACCTGTAGTCATGCCGGCCACATGACCACAGAAGAGTCCATGGACAATGCTGGCTTCCTTGCTTAGGGAACCAGAGATGAAAATCACCCCCTAGGGTCAAATACGACTAAGCAGGGGGTAGGAGATGACCAGGCGGAGCCCAAGGGAGAGGTCAAATATGTCCTCAGTCATAAGTCCCTGTGCGCCCACAAGAGATCTAACTCCAGCCTACCTTGAATGCCTTTTTTATCTCCCGCTCATTTCCCTTGACTGTTAGTTGGCCAGATTCTTGTAGAGTGCTGAAGCTTGCAATAAATCTTTATATTCATTGGAACTGCCTGAATCTCCTGATTTTCCCCTTGCTTGACAAGGGGAAACTTTATCTTTTATATGTAACTAGCACATGAGAGAAGGAAGCAAAATAGCTAGGGAAGACACTGAATGAATGAATAAATGAATCAAGTCTAATGTTATCATTTTACGCACAGAGAAAGCTGCTAATTCCCGTTTCCTGCATGCAAAGCGCTTGAATCTTTTCACAGGTTCATAGAGGGAAATTTCTCAAACCAACCTTAAAATTGCAGGAATCAAAGCAGAGGTGTTTGGCATGCAAAATATTCCTGTCCCTGAGCAACTTTGCTGCCTTCTGCCGCAAATGAAACACATTATTTTCACAGCCAATGTCACGTCATGGGCTGCATTCTAAATCAGTTATTTTCACAGAGGGGCCACCGAAAACAGTTGCTAAAAGAAGGTTCCATTTGTTCTCGTTATTCAATATAGGTAGTCCTCAACGTACAACCACAATTGAACTGAAAATTTATATTGCTAAGTGAGACATTTGTTATGTGAACTTTGTCCCATTTTAAGACTTTTCTTGCCAGAGTTGTTAAGTGAATCACTGCAGTTGTTCAGTTAGTGACGAGTTCTGTTAAGTGAATCTGGCTTTCCTCATTGTCTTTGCTGGTCAGAAGGTCACAAAAGGGGATCACGTGATCCCGGGACATTGCAACCATCATAAATGTGAGTCAGATGTCCAGCATCCTAATGCAAATCACGTGAACATGGGGAACGCTGCAATGGTCATAAGTGTGAAAAATGGTCACTTTTTTCAGCACCATTGTAACTTTGAACGGTCACTAAATGAATGATTGTAAACCAAGGACTATCTGTACTAGTTTTCTTCTATTTTTTATTTGGTCCCCAATCCTTTGAGGCCACAGTCACACTGTATGGCTAAAAAAAAAAATGAGAAAATGTCCTTGAATACCTTTCCGAATAGCTGAAGGCAGTGATGGGATTCAAATAATTTAACAACCAGTTCTCTGGCCTAATGAGTGGCTGGGTGGGCGTGGCCATGGTGGGCGTGGCCAGTGGTTGTGACTGGCAGCACTCAGCCTCCCTGCAGCCTCCTGAGAACAAAAACAGGCCATGAGGGAGGGGGGGGGGCGTGCCGCATGCCCCTCGCCCCATTTTGGGCCTAGTAGGCCTCCCTGAATCCTTCTGGGAGAGAAAACAGGCCACAGTGGGGTGCACCGCATCCCCCTTGCACCCCATTTTGGGCCTAGTAGGCCTCCCTGCACGTACCCGGGAGACAAATGGGGTGCGTGGGAACTCCTGGAAAGGGCAGGGAGGGGAGGGGCCAGCCAGCAATTTAAGTACCGGTTCGCCCGAACTCTCCCAAACTGGCTGAATCCCACCACTGGCTGAAGGTACCCATCTCCATCATCACCCTCTCTTCTCTCTTCTCCAAAGTTGACCATCTCTTAACTCTTTCATAGCTTTGCACCTTTCCTTTCTATTCCTTTTATCCAACTGATCTACTTTCTTGCTTCTGAACAAATGTTTATCCCTCCCAGAGAACAGGCAAGCTTTTGAAGTTATGAAGCGGGAACCTTTATTCTAAAACAGATGGGCTAAACAGTTTGCATTTGAAACCCTTCCAGAACGAGACGCCCCTTTCCCCAAGTTCAAAAATAAGCTGTTCCAACTTCACACGACTTATTGCCAGGTTGCTTCATTCTTCCCTCAGAGATGGGCAAGAATGAAATCATCAAGCCCAGGTTCAAAACTCAGGTTGTGAGCCCAAAACAGGGCATTTTTTAAAAAGTTTGTACACTTCCTGTCAACTCTTGAATAGGAAATGACTCAAAACTGTTAGCCTCAGGTGTAATGTTTAGCTTAACCCGTTGACTGCTTTTTCTTCTTTCTTGTTATATATCGATTCTAGATAGATGATAGATAGATAGATAGATAGATAGATAGATAGATAGATAGATAGATAGATAGACAGACAGACAGAGACAGACAGAAAGAAAGAAAGAAAGACAGACAGACAGATGATATAAATAGAATAGAATAACAGTTGGAAGGGACCTTCTAGTCCAACCCTCTGCCTAGGCTAGGAAAGCCTACACCACTTCAGATAAATGGTTATCCAACATCTTCTTAAAAACTACCGGTGTTGGAGCATTCACAACTTCTGGAGGCAAGTTGTTACACTGATTAATTGTTCTCACTTTCAGGAAATTTTTCCTTAGTTCTAAATTGCTTTTCTCTTTGATTAGTAAATAGGAAGATAGATAGATAGATAGATAGATAGATAGATAGATAGACAGACAGACAGACAGACAGACAGACAGACAGACAGACAGACAGACAGACAGACAGACAGACAGATCGATAATGATAGATGGAAGTGCTGGAAGTGTGGGGAGCTAGGTATTTATTTTCATGTATGGTGGACCTGTCCCAGGGTAATTGAATTTTGGAAACTTATTCAGAGGTGGTTGTTAGAAATTACTGGATACAAATTACAATTGAAACCTGAATTTTACTTACTAAACATTAGGCCAGATAAAACAGGCACTAACAAATGGTATCTGATAGTCTATACTACAACTGCAGCAAGAATATGTCTCGCCCAAAATTGGAAGGGAAAAGACCTACCGTCTGAAGATTTGATTTTAGGGAAAATTATGGAATGTGCAGAAGCCGATAGGCTAACAAAAATTTTAAGAGATCAAAAAGTTTCCGCATATTTTCAATATTGGGACCTATGGTATGTTTGGTTAAATAACAGAATAAAAAGAGGACAATGTTAGCTTAGTTTTTATTTCTCATTTGTATATTTGGACTGAAGGTAATGTATTGTGTAAGGTTCTCACCGCGATCTGTTTGTTGATAAATTTTCTGTTTGTATTTTTTTTAAAAGAAAAAATATATATATATTATTAATAAATATATATATATATATATATATATATATATATGTAAAAGATAATGATAGATAGATGATATAGATAGATAGATAATTATAGATGATAGATAGATAGACAGACAGACAAATAATGATAGATAGATGATAGACAGATAGATGAGAGAGAGAGAGAGAGATGATATAAATAGATTAATTTTAAGAGATGTATGTATGTATGTATGTATGTATGTATGTATGTATGTATGTATGAGATTTGTTCTTTTTTTTTCAGCATCCAGCCAAGGTAGATCCTACATATTAAATGTTAAACTTATTTGATCACTTTTTCCTTTTCTTTTTGTACACTATTTTTTCCCCTTTTGTTGTTGTTGTTAGGGTTTAATGTATGCTTTTGTTTTGTTTTGTTTGTTTGTTTTTCTGTTTTGTATTTTACCTTTTAATGATAACACCATAAGCAGTGTTAAAAAAAACCTGATAGCATCATTCCAGTACAAAACAAACACATTCAGATACTTTGAGAGAATTTCTCACGAAAATTATTAGCAACTGCATTCAAGCCTGGTGAGGAAAACGGTGCTTCTATTTAAAGTTAACCCTGAGTATATATTCCTAAAACTGGCTGATAAATCTGCTATTTGAAAGAAAGTGAGTAAGGCAGGTTGTGGAAAAACTCTGCACAATAGCTTAACCAAACTTCCTCTTTTTCTAATTTTTTTTTAAACCACAAGATTGACATATCTATATGTAAACAAATGGACTAATAACTGTATTTCAGCAGGCCACTGGCTTCTTGGCAAGACTGAGAGGAATGCCTTCATTTTCTCTCCGAGGTGGCAATTGCTGCACTGGCTCCCGGTGGTCTTCTGGGTGTGCTTCAAGGTGTTGGTTATCACCTTTAAAGCGCTCCATGGCTTAGGACCTGGTTATCTACAGGACCGCATTCTGCCACCGATTGCCTCCCACCGACCAATACGCTCCCACAGAGAGGGCCTCCTCAGGGTGCTGTCAGCCAAACAGTGTAGGCTGGCGACCCCCAGGGGGAGAGCCTTCTCTGTGGGGGCCCCGGCCCTATCGAATGAACTGCCCCCGGACATACAAAGGATCCCCGACCTCCGTGCCTTCCATCGCGCTCTGAAGACCCTATTATTCCAGCAAGCTGGACTGACAGGATAAAGGTTTTTTAAATTGGGTTTTGATAGGGGTTTTAAAATGATCTTAGTTGGATGTTTTAAATTTGGCTGAATGATTGCATTATTTTAATAAGCTTTTAATGTTTGTTGTACATTGTTTTTAACATGGCTGTTCACCGCCCTGAGTCCCTCGGGAGAAGGGCGGTATACAAATATAATAATAATAAAAAAAATTGAATGTTGAATTGGGGGGAAAATATATATATATATATAATATTGTGTGCCTGAATAAAAGTTGCCATACCGTCAAACAGCCCATAAGACTCTGTTCGAAGGGCCTTTGGAAAGCTCTTGGATCGCCACACCAGTCCAGGAGTTCAGTAGCTGCATTGTGGAAATTGGCAGGATTCTGTAAATGCTGCAACAAAACAGAAAGAGAAGAACTGAAGACGATTAGGTACATCCATGCTCTCTGACTGACTGATTTTTAAAAAACTATATATATATATATATTGACTAACATATAGGCGACGCTGGTATGGCTTATGCACAAGGTCTAATTTTTTCCCCCCTCTTGTGGATGTGCACCAACATCTGAAATCAATATCTGTTGATTTGATTTATGTTCGTCCTTACTACTCCGGTGAGCACACGAGGCAGCTAACCAAGGGTTAAAGTCTAAACAGAATAAACCGTTGTGATTAAAACGATCAACTAAGTCAAGAGTAAAATTGTTTAACCAGTCAAATCTTGGCCCAAGAGAAGAACCTTTGCAAATCTCTAAACCCTCAGAGAAGAGAAGCCAGGTTTCTTAGTTAGGAAGCTATGAAGAACAGAGATATCTTCACTGCAGTTCTTAGAAGTCAGAGGGGCTCGTGATTCATCTAGGTACACTGGCCTTACTGAAAGATTAAACTTTTGGCCTCAAAGTTTTGAAAAGTACAAAAACCAGCATGGCAATCTTGTTGATTCTCACTGCAGAATGGGGGAGAAATTCCCAGACACTCTGCCAACCTGGAAGACAGGAATCATCATCATCATCATCATCATCATCATCATCATCATCATCAAAAAACCGAGAGTTACAAGCATGTGGCCGAATTCTTAAAAGAATAAAATATAGGTGGAAAACGTTGCACCGAAGTTTGTACATGTGCTGCTATGAAAAGAACAGAATCGAAACAGGGCGGGACTCCTGCACATTCGTCAAAGTTCTCTTACCATGAGAAAGGATAAGAAATTCAGGCAGTGTAAAAGCATGTTGACATTAAGACTGTAGTAGTTTGGACCAGTGATGGGATTCAAATAATTTAACAACCAGTTCTCTGCCCTAATGACCGGCTGGGTGGGTGTGGCCAGGGGGTGTGACAGGCAGCACTCAGCCTCCTGCACCCTCCTGGGAGCCAAAATGGGGCACGTGGGGACTCCTAGAAAGGGTGGGGAGGGGCGGGGCCAGCCAGGAATGTAATAACCGGTTCTCCCGAACTGGCTGAATCCCACCACTGGTTTGAACACTTTGAGAGACAGCAACAGCATTAGATCTTCAAATCCCACTTAGTGTCTTACCTAAGCACTCTGTACAGTATCCACTAAACAGAACTTTGGCTATTAAGGTGGATCTCTTCAGTCTCATCTGGGAAGATCCAAACAAGAGATTTGTTAAACCAGGGGACCCCAATCCCCAGGCCGTGGCCTATTCGCAACCAGGCCGCGGCCTATTCGCAACCAGGCCGCGGCCTATTCGCAACCAGGCCGCATGAGAGCAGCTCGACTTGTACAAGTGGTGGGCCAGCGCACATGCGTATCTGCTTGTGGAGCTGTGTGTACATGTACATGCATGTTGGACTGCCGTGCACATGAGTCAAGGTAAACGGGTGCGCTGGCCTGCCGGTCATGCAGCCTGGTTCCCCTCTCCCACCCGCCAAGCCGCAAAGATTGGAGACCGTTGTGCTAAACAACTACACAATTTGCTTAAAAACTGATTTACTTAACCGCCGTGGCAAGAAGGACAGCAAAATCGGGTGCAACTCACTTAACAACTGCCCTGCTTAGCAATGGAAGCTCTGCTTCCAATTGTGGTCTCAAGTCGAAGACTATCTATACCTCATCCGTATATGAAGCACCGACAAACAAAACCAACCGCAAAACCAGAATACGGAGGGCTTGGCTAAATGAGGGGAGAGTCAAGAACAACCAGATCACAAAGACACAGAGGGACATAGCCCTACGCTGTATGGATAAATGAATAAAAATGAAAAAACAAAAACAAAAAAGGGAAGCAGCTTTAATTCTATTGCTTGCTATGACCATATATAAACAGAGGCACAGAATCAAAATCACGTGACGTATGAGTACCACTTTATAAAGCCTTATTAAGGCCATACCTGGAATATTGAATCCAGTTTTGGTCACCACATTACAAAAAAAAAAAAAAGAAGAAGTTGAGACTTTAGAAAAAGTGCAAAGAAGAGCAACTAAAGCCATTAAAGGCCCAGAGACTAAAACATATGAAGAACAGTTGCAAGAATTGGGTCTGGCTAGTCTAGAGAAAAGAAGGACTAGGGAGAACATGGTAGCAGTATTCCAGTATTTGAGGGGTTGCCAGAAAGAGAAAGGGATCAAATTATTATCCACAGCACCAGAAGGCAGGACAAGAAATGATGGATGGAAACTAATCAAGGAGAGAAGCAACCTGGAATTAAGGAGAAACTTCTTAACAGTGAGGACAATCAACCAATGGAACAGCTTGCCTCCAGAAGTTGCAGATTCTTTCATCACTGGAGGTTTTTAAGACGAGACTGGACACGTAAGGTTGCCAGGTGTCCACTGTTTGAGCGGACAGTCAGCTTTTTTCACATTATGTTCACTATTTTTTTTTCACAAAATAGTGGACATTTTTTTTATTCAAAAGCTTTATAACTGTATGCTTTTTTAATATTTCTCAACGTTGTACTGAAATTAAAGAATTATTCCTTAAACCCAAAGAATTGATCAAAGCTGCGCAGTCAAATAAAAAATACAGCAAAGTAAAATGTAATTTAATATTTTACATATTATTATAATATATTTGATGTTTTGAATTTTAAGTAAAGTTTTGAAGTGATTATTTTAATACGTGTTAAAATGTTTGTAAGAAAATATATAATTTAATTGTAAAAAATTTTTTTTAATTTTTTTACTACTTAACACCTCCCCTCCCCCCGCTTGTCCGCTATTTTTTGGAAGCAGACCTGGCAACCCTACCGGACAGCCACTTATCTTGCCTTCTGGTGCTTTGGAGAATAGGCCGACCCCCTCTTCCTTGTGGCAGCCCCTCAAATACTGGAATACTGCTATCATATCACTCCCTAGTCACAGTTCAAAATGAAGAGCGCTACAGGTTCAATGCATGACAGCAAAATTGCATGAACGCCAAATAATCATGGTCTTTTGATTTAGTTTGACTTTATTTCCAAGACAAAATAAGTGCAGAATCTTAATTTAGGAAGTAATGCATAAGGGCAGGGGTGGGAAAAAGTCTTTCCTTTTCAAAACCTCTGAGACTCCAAAGGCATCGTGTTGACAGAATTACGTCCTCGCAGCTCCTGAACGGCTTGTTTGCGTAACAAAACTACTTCACTATGCTAAATGAGTTACTGCAGTTTATTTATGGGACGTCGTGCCAAATTATGAAGGCTGGCTCAAAGCTGCCTGTTTGTTTTGCCCAGTTACATCTGCTGAGCTTCTTGCATTAATTGAACTGCTAAACAGCAACACAACTAATGATGGGGGGGTGCTGAATGAGTGTGTTTGCCTTTACATCAATCAAAGATTGCCCAGGGCTCCTTCCTGCTTTGTTGCAACACCAGTGTGGAAGTCTCTTTCCGCAGATTTTTTTCCATGCTGAATGAATGACACTTTACAACATAAATAGATGGCTAATATTCTTGGCTAAGAATAGTGGTGGTATTCACCCGGTTCGGACCGGTTTATGTGAACTGGTAGTGGCGACGCTGCCCCGGCGCTGTGCCGTCCTATTTAGCCACGTTTTCTAAGCCGCGCGCATGCGTGCAAGCGTGTGCGTGAACTGAACAGGTGGTAACACCATGTTGTGACCCAGGCCCAAATAGTTAGTATTAAATACAAACTGTTTGAAAACAAACAGACTTTATTAGAACAGCTGAGAATTAACTCATTCTCAGCGTAGTCTAAACTAAATTAAAGCAAATTCTTCAAAACATCATTCCTCAGTTTATCACCGACCTTGGGATAAGTAGGCAAACTGCCAAAGGCTTTTCTTGGCAAAAGTTCAGAAGCAGAAGACGCCGACAAGAAATGAATACAGTGAAACAAGAAGCAATTCTCTCAACGTTGTTTTCCAGCAAAGAGGCCAAGAGCCGTTGCTGGTCTTTTAAGCCTTATGGGAGGGGCCAATAATATCTTGGCCCTACTCCCGCGTCGTCCTCTCTCCTTTATCTGCTCCTGCCTTCTGGCAGCTCTTCTCATACGTGCACTAGGAATAGGCTCTTCCTGTTCCTCTGCTTCTCTGCTATCAGCCTCTGGAGGCTCCGAAGTCTGCACATCACTTCCCGATGGCCCTGGCCCCATCTCTGCCTCCGACGCAGAGCCCTCATCGGGGCCTTCCCCAGCCTCCAGGACTGGCCCATGTTCTTCCTCACCCTCATCGCTGTCCGACTCCACTGCCAGCTCCGCAGACTGCTGGTGGACCACAACAATCATGTCCCATTTTTAATACTCTGCGCATGAGCGGAAGGGCCTGCGCATGCATGGAGATGTCACATGCACTCACATTTGCGAACCAGTAGCGCAGGTAAGTGAATACCACCCCTGTTCTGACTAGCAAAGTCCATCGGCAAGCCGGATTCACTTAACAATTATGCCACTAATTTGTCCGGTGCAGTCATTCACTTAACCACTGTGGCCAGAAAAATTGTAAAATGGAGCAAAACTCGCTTAACCACAGAAATTGCTGGTCTCAATTGCGGTCGTAAGCCGAGGTCTACCTGCATCACTTTTCAGGGAGAGAAGGGAAATGCATTGTGGTTTTTCAAAGGTGTTGTGAATCCATTTCAACAAGGGATGGGTGATGTCTGGGTTAAAAACAGAGAAACTTCCCTTGACCTATTGCTGGAACTTGATACTCCGAGCAGAGTAGATTACTATTTATATCCTTCTGTAGGGCAGGAGTTAAGGCTGTCTGTCTCCTTGAAATACTAACTGTTGCCAGCCAGTCTACAAAATGTGCAGCATTCCGAACCCAGAAGAATTATGAGCCCTCTCCCCATCTCTCCTCCTCCTTCTGTGCCTCCACAAATACTGTACCTGTGCATTTTGTTTTTCTTGCCTAAAAAAAAGGTTCTACATATGCAGCCAGCAATTTAACTACCGGTTAGCCTGAACCGGCTGAATCCCACCACT